GAGAGAGAAAGAGAGATAGCAGATAGGGGCGTTTGATAAGGAATCTGAAAAAGTAAACAAACAAGGAACAACGACACGACGATACTGTTTACAGCCTTATTGTGTCGCCCACTACATTTGCACACGTGACCACTTTTTGTTTCTTCCTTATCTTTCATCCGTCCCAAAATAGAATTCCTGAAATTGTTTGTTGGTATAATCTCCCCTCCCACACAAGGCGCAGTGCTCAGTGCGCACTGTAGGTTGTCACGGCAACCATGTGTCGTCATAGCGACTAGCCAATCACGCACTCGCACTGCGTTGTATATTACGATACGAATAGCTGTTAGAAAGACAACGCGATAGGTGGTCGTTTGTCTCTTTCCTATCTCCTCAAAATTACGATCGATAATCATTGCGTCTTGACTGAGCTGAGGTTCGTGCTTATCAAACCTCGAATGCATGAACAACGTAGATTTGTGATAACATTGTTCTCAATTATGACCCAAATTAAGTGTTTTGACTTAGTATAAAAGCTCGGCTCGAACTTCGAGCTTTTTCAAAATGCCTCGAGTCGAGCCGAATAATGAAAAGCTCGACCAAAAAGCTCGAAGATTCGAGTACTCGCACACCCCTAGTTTATACGTAAACAAAATTAGCTCCCCATGTATTTCTTATGGGAGTTAAATTTGGCTTTTCTTTGCCGAGTTTGTTGGGCTCTTCTACCCGAACGATTTTCATGATTGAGGTCTCAAATTGAAGGTATGCACGCACAGATTTGCCATCAAGCATCGGCATATATTTATCTATAATCCCACTCGGTGTATATGCAAATGAAATTTTCTCCCCATGTATTTCTTATGGAAGTTAAATTTGGGTTTTCTTTGCCGAGTTCGTTTGCCCATTCTGCCCGATCGATTTTCATGATTGAGGTCTCAAATTGAAGGTATGCACGCAAAGATTTGCCATAAAGCATTGGCATATATTTATCTATTATCCCACTTGGTGTATATACAAACGAAATTCGCTTCCCATGTATTTCTTATGGAAGTTAAATTTGGTTTTTCTTTGCCGAGTTCGATTGGCTCTTCTACCCGATCGATTTTCATGATTGGGGTCTCGAATTGAAGGTATGCACGCACAAATTTGCCATCAATCATCTACAAATATTTACCTACAGTATTACACGACCAGAACTTGATTTATTTTATAATTAAGATATGGTTACAAATCAATAGCTCCAGTATTTCCATGTTTTTCTATATGTTTTAGACACAAACTTATCAGTAAATTATAGGATTTAATTTGAGATATAGATCACAGAATCAGTTAAGCTCAAGATACTGTATTACTCAATCAAAAATTATAAATTTGATTATTTCTCGGATATAATAATTATTTTAACGCTGCGCAGCAGCATGGGTCCTCTAGTCATATTTTAAATAGCTAAATTCCTTAAAGAAACCCAATCTTTGACCAAATTTTAGAATTAAATAATCAGTACAGTAACAAAAAGTTTTCCAAATCCTGTCTGATTCTATAAATCATCTGTATAATCTAAATTATATTTATTTATATACAAACAAACAATACAAACAAAAGTTGAGTATTTAATGTTATTTTAAGTAGAGGTGTGCGGATAGTGAAATTTCATTTCGGATCGGATTTGGATCGGATAGTTGAGGCTCGGTTCGGATCGGATCGGATATTGGGAGGTTCGGATTCGGATATTTTCGGATTCGGATAGTTCGGCGCGGTTAATAATAAGCTGCATATGCATTTTTAACATATAAAACATTGTAAAGCTGTGTAAATATTAAATAAACATAAATGGTGATTTTGAATCATAAAATTTCAAATTAGCCACGTCAACAGTTTTTCTCTCTTGAAAATCACAATTCACAACATCTATTTTCAAAAGTTGGTTGCTTGAATTAAGTACACTAGCAGCCGAAATCTTCACACAACACTTAAGCTCAGCAGGACTGATGTCAAAACGTTTGGGTTTGTTTACTTGAGGTTATGTTTTATGTTGTTTCCTGGTTCTCACAAGACAAGGATTTCTATCTCAATTTTATTTTCACATTGTATTTCCTTACGTTTTTGGAACAGATTATTGGCCTTAAGTGGCATTCTTGGGGTTTGCCAAGTTTAGAAAACATCACTAATACACTAAACTGGGCTCTAGATTTGATGTTGTGGCAAGTTAATTAGAGCTATTAGGCTTTATAACTCTGTAAAAGGTGTGTATCCCTGAATTTATAAATTTCATTCTACACTTATTCACTGCCAAACATAATTCAGTAGAACCTTGATGAACCAAGAATTACACTAGCCTACATAACTTCATTACCCCAAGTAAAATACCAAGATAAGTTTTAAAAGTTAAAAAGTTATAAGTTTGTTAAAAATGGATTTTAAATTCAACAATTATTGCAGTCCATTATTGTTATGCAGTATGGTCCCAAGTTATTGTTTTTGATTTTGAAACATCACAGTTCATTTGAAAAAATTAAAGTTGAAGCAGCCCAAGATCAACAAGTCATGTACAACAATAGTTTTTTTACAAGCTTTCTCCAGACCACTGGGGAGGGTCGGGTCTGATAAGCCGTCTATTGTTCACTTCAACCCTCATTAGTGCCTCTCGGCTGCACTCAGTGGGGAACCCAATACCACAAATCAATCTTTTAAATGAATAAACATATTTGGTAATAATTGTTTTATTGATATTCACCTTGAAATTCCAATAAATTTGGTGTAAAATTTGACAAAAACCGGCTAATTTATTAATACATTACCAATCAAGTACATTGGTAATTAAATAATAGGTAAAAATTAACCAATTTTCGTCAAGTTTTACCCCCTGCTGTGCTATGTCACAAAAGCTGATAACGACATGGGCAACTAGGCAACTTGTTGAATGCGTGATGAAGGGAAACCCAAGAAATAGAAGAACAAAGAGAAAGTATAATGACGTTGTTATCTTTATACCCTTTTTACAATTGCTGTTATTGTTATTATCTTTATGTAAGATTTTATGATTTTGTTTTATAGGTTTATAAAATAATTCTTTTTAACCACGGGAATATCAATTTATAATTTATCAACGTTTTTCTCTTGAAACAGCAATACCGGATGTATAATAAAGGTCAATGACCTAAAATATCTTGATTGTGCAATATTGTATTTTGATGTTGAAATTCAAATCATGACAAAAGTTTGTATATTTCCCCTGGTCCCTATCATTTAATCATTTTATATAGGCTACACAATCAATACTAAATAATCGTGGTTAGTTCTAATTTTATTTTTGATTATTCAAAGTTTCTACACAATAAGACAATTCAAAGTCAAACCGGGCAATGAATACTCTAAAAACAACGTATCTTGTCCTGTGATTGGAATACCACTCGCCAGTCCTTTAGATTTAGGGAAGTAGTGCAAGTCTATATATAGCTTCAAGGTCGTACCCACCCCTTCCCCCCTCACGGCCTACTCGACTCACTGTTGCTACCCGTTACCCGGGCTCCTTTCGAGGTCATTGCCCAACCCCTCCCACCCTTCTATTGTGTTGCCTTTCTATTGTTTCTATTCTGACTTTTTTCGGGAAACATTAAATCTGTTGTTTACGTAACAGCACATAAGTAGGCTGGATTTTTATGATTTAAAACAGTACTGTAAAAAAAACTATTACGCATAGCGCCCCTAGTATCAGGAGACAAGCACGAGTTGACTATGGAAGTTCTTTTCTGCTTTATGTATGTTCGTTCCAGACGAATCTAATCGTAAAGCAAAACAACTGATAACGTTCCAGACGAATCTAATCATAAAGCAAAACAGCTGATAACGACTAAACTTGACATCGGTATTGCATCATACGGCTTCTTTGTCCTTTGCTGTTACGTCGTCGTCGTTGGAAACGTATTGCCGTAATTTTGTCCAGAGATACTAATGATGGTTATGAAGATTAAGTTTTCTGTCCAAAACGTCAAAATATGTTGTCTATCCGAAAAAGTCGGATATATAACGGATAGTATCGGATATCAAATTTAGGCTCGGTTTGGATACGGATATCCGAACCGAGCCTAAATTTGATATTTGAGTACGATACGGATATCCGAACCGAACCGAATCCGACCCGATTTTTCGGATAACCGCACACCTCTAATTTTAAGTTTGAAAATGGACTTATGCCCGAAACATGTCACTTCTATTAAAAAAAAATATAATATTCAGGGTGCTCAGTTGTACTTTATTTACTACAATAATTTAACACATTTATTCCCTATTTAAATTGAATTATTTTAACGAGTACTTAGGTTTGCTGCAACAGGGAGGGTAAAAAAGTGTTTTTTTTATAAAATGTTAATAGTTTAGTAAAAAATGAATGTCAAATTTGATCAAGACATGTCCATAAACAAATAAACTACAACAGTTGACTTATTCTCCATAAGAATAACATGGGAATTTTAAATTTACAATTTTTTTGAATTTTCTCCATAACCATTAGGCGCACAATAACGCTTCAATATACTAAATTATTTGTTTTTTAAGCTCTACAAAATGATTTGGAAAGAAATTGTGAAATTTTCTGGTTTTAGGGTCAAAAATGGGAAAACCCTATTTTTACCCCATAAAACCCCCCATAAACCCCTGTTCCCACAGCCCGATCATGCTGGTTTGCAAACTCGTTCGAATAAATGTAGGTTTACACATTTTATACCAAACTTCATTAAAATCGGATCATTTTTGCTCGAGTTATCGGGCAAAAATGATCGGACATATATATATGAATCTGAACTAATGGTGTTTTTGGCTTCTAGGGACCTCAAAACGAAAAAGTAAATCGGTCCCGGGTCCAGGTCCTACCATGAGTACTACTGAGTACTACGGTAATAGCTTATTCCCTATATACATTTACATTTTAAAATGTAAATGACAATGAGGTAAAACGACACAAAATAAACACCTCAGCCAAATTATTACTAACTTACAGTGCCAAAATTTTAACTAGTGTATACCTTGAGAACTGAGTCAAGAAGAGACTTTTGCTGATTAGTGGTGAGACGTAGAATACACAGAAACGCAATGACCCGAGCTGTCTCTTCATCACTGGTTGACCACAGACTGACCAGCTGTTTGAGCACACTCTTGGTAAGTGAGTGGTAGTATCCTAGGAACACCGTCATCTGATGTAAGTGCTTGAGTAGCACTGTCAGAATGTTGGCAGAACTTACAGCTCCTAGTAGCTATAACAAGCCATAGGACACAATAATAATATTGGGCTAAATAGAATAGATTTTTACAAAATATACTTAAAAAAGTGTCTTTCTTGTGTGCTGTAGTTTGAAAATGTTATACAGAACACTCTGTACGGTGGCTTATTCGGGTTACCCTTTATTCGCTCCTGTCTACCATATCTGATGGAGCTAGGATAGGGGCATAGAGTAAGAAAACATGTTATAAATCTATCAAATAAATAAGAAGACATATTTTTTATTTGTCTTTAGGATTTTCAGAATTATAACATAAAAACAAAATGAATTTGACATTGAAATTGCCATTCACTACTATTTTGAATATGATTTTTACAATCAAAGTGCAGGTTAGATTTGGATTTACATATGCTGTAAATGTAACATTGTGTAAAATTTTGGATTAAGTCCCGCGTTTTCGTTGAATTTGACTTTTTGAAACTTTAATAGGCTGCCAATTTGAAATTTTACATTGACCAAGTTGAATTTGTTCTTTGATGGTTCTTTTTTATCTTAACACACATCATAAGCCAATTTTCATAAATATCGGTTAAATAATCCTAAGATATAAAAAATGGCAGATATCTGGTAGAGCGTTTAGGGAAAAACTTTATTATTCTTGATTACCTCTTTCGTTTTGACTCATGAAACCGATTTCCGGAGTTTAGCACTTAACTTATTTTATTTAGTCACAAATATAGTAAAATCTCAACAGCCCAACATTCTCTAGAGTCACACATTCAGTTTCGCTTCAAGATTAGAATTCAGTAGTTTAAGCGGTCAACTCATTATTACCTGTTGGCGGATGTGACCAAAGAAGTTCTAAGTAGTTCAGGGAGTTTGCAGAAGTTGGTTTAACCACTTTTAAACAAGACTTTAAAGTTGGGAAAACAATGCTTTCCGATTTGCACATTTACTTTTGCCAAAGGTGGTTTTAGGGATACCTCAAATTAGTTCTTAGCAACTTTTTGCACAGTTACAAGTTGATACAAAATCATGCAAGTAAATAAATAATCAAAACTGTATATGTAAATTAGCAGGTATTGTTGTGGTCATCAAGTACAAACCTTCAGTAAATCAGTGAGATATGTCTTGATGAGGTTCTTCATCTTATTCCAGCGTTTACTCTTGGCAAGTTGGGTGGCCGAGGGGTTGTGGGAGCTCAACCCTAATACCTTGTTGATGGCAGGCTGCAGTTCCAACACACACAGTTGCACAACAGCGTTGAACACTGGGGAAATCAGATAAATAGTAATGTAAAATACCCGGGTATTTAAAACTCTGGTAAATACCCAAAATCCATAAATACCCGGGTATTTTGGGTATTTATGAAATCGATTGAAATTCATTTATATTCACCCCTAAATATGTTATTGTTATCATTACATGATAAATTAGGATAGTCTATAACACCTTTTACAGTAACATGAAGCTTTGCTAGTACCTTTTATTTAATGATTTAGCACTTTTTTAAATGAAATCAAGACAACACCTCATCAGAGAAATAGTGAACCTAAACCTACTTCTACTGTCATTAAATTATGATAGTTAAAATTGTATTGTGTAAATGGCTTGGAAGGCTCCCAAGGCCTGATTGACATAGGCAGACTGGCAGAATACTGAAAGTACAGTAGACTCCCTCTTATCCGGACTCCTCGGAACCGAGGCTAGTCCGGATAACGGTTTTTCTGGTTAAACCGACGTCCCCAAAAACTCTTTAAAACAGAAACCGTTTACTGTGATATTCGACTTAAATTTAGGAGAGCATTGTATTTAGATACGTGATCACTGGTCTCAAAACTTTCCCACGAGAACAGTTGTTTCAAAACCGCTCACTTCCTGCCAATCTAGTCAGGTTAAACCAATGGGTTGATAACAATTGTCCGGTTAAAAGATGTCCGGATAAGAGGGAGTCCACATTAAACTTTTCTGTGTTACTGCTTAGTTGGAAACAATAATATATTTGGATAAACCTACTAAAAAAATGTATCTACTGTTTTTTGGTCTAACTTAATATAATTTTGAAAGATTTATTGTGCTATAGATTCAAATTTTTTGTATCACAAGTTTATGAAATTAGTTTTTTTTTAATTTTGATACCATTGATACCAACAAAAGATCTAGAACAAAAATATTATTAAATCCTGCCATCCTACAGATTGAATTTTAATTATTTTCTTAAGTTGTTTACACATAGGCCACTACTAGGTTAAATTTTCCTGTCTTTCTAAATAATAATTATTACTTTACAAATTATTTTCCTTCACTTTCAATAAAATAAATTCATCTATCTATCATAGAAATTAAAAAATCACAAGTAGTCAGGACCAGTGCAACCATGCGACCAGGGTATTTATGCTGATTATGCTTTATGCTCAGACCAGGGTATTAATGCGATTATACCGAGAAGTAAAATGCTAGTAGTGACCATATGAAATTTTGTTTAACACATTTTATCATCATTTTACTATCCTTAGAGGGTAATAATTGCAAAAATAACATCTCAATCTTCTCTAACTTTAATACAAATTATAAATACCCAGTTTTTGGGTATTTACCCGGGCCTGGGGTGAATACCCACACTGGGTATTTACCCGACCCACATCACTACAGATTAAGAGACTGTGTAGAAGAGTGTTTTATGGCTAAAGACCAACTGGGAACCTTCTTTTGAAGTATTTTTAATTTAGTAGGTAGTCAATCCATAATCATCACCCCAAAGGGCATTATACAATCAAAATGTTGTAAAGCCAGAGATTAATAATAAGTATAGTATAAAAATAAAATGTGAGAAATAATTAGTTGCAAAACTACAGCCAGTTGACACCATGAAAAGGAAACGGAATCAATGTTACATGGCAAAGCCGGTGTAGCTGGTGAAGGACTGGGCACTGTGATTAATATCACCCCCAATTTTAATACATGTGATTAATAAAATTGGAAAGGTAATTATATCCCAAGGACAATCATACTTTAATTTATTAGGTACTAACTAGCAGAGTACCCGTCCTTCGTAGGGGGTTGGCGTATAAGTATAAAATGCTTATTGAAGTTATACTCATGCTTTGCGTTTGCATTGGAGAGGATACGGTTTGAGAAAATTTGGTTCTTTTAATTTACGGTATGCTATAGTAGTACATCTACCATAGCCATAAAGTTCTACCACTGCACCTAAACAATAAAAAACATGATTTTCTAATTTTTCTCAGCTTTTGGTTACTAGTTGGTTCAAATTAGATGTTGTCATAAAGGCAAAAAAAAAAATTAAAAGTGCTGCACCCTGTTGGTAAACTTGATAACTTTTTAATGCTATTTAATATAATAGAACAAACTTGTGTAGTTGAAACGGCTGACTAAATTCTATAATTCCTTTTAAATATGAATACTTATAAAAATAACATGGGAAACTCCAGAGCCACTGGGGCAGAGCCCGAAAGGATTTTTGAGTTAAGAATGCGTCTATATGTTAATCGGGAATGTGAGCTATCATCATACCCAATTTTAGCTCAAAGGCCTACTCCAACAGCATAACTCTGATAATATTAATTATAATTTAATCTAAAATCTCACTATGTTCCAATCACAGACTGTGATAATTATACAGCTAGATATAGTGTGTTTTCAAGTATAGTTCAGTATCGTTCAAGTAAGTGTTAAAGCTCATTGTTTTCAAGGATTCAGTACTAGATAGGTATAATTATTATTAGAGGCTATTATTTTTAGAGTTTAATTAGCCTACCTGAACTTCCGTCTATTCGGTAATCACCCTCTTTACTGTCTTCTTCTCCAGATACAGTTGTAAGAGCTGCTTGAAATGCTTTTACAATTTCTGTAATTACATTTGTAGATCTGCGGACAAATGGTAGGGTATTTTTAACATGTCAGAATGCAGTCTTATCATGAGGCACTTGTTTGATTATTCTTAACAATATCAAGTGTATGGTAACTCACGGTTTAGTCTGTATCTGATGCTGCCACTCTGACACCATCGCCAGGGTGACCAGTTGCCCAGAGCTGCCTGTCCAAGCCTCGCCTTCCTCAAAATCATCCTCATCACTGTCCAGCTGCAACAACACAAGTAGCCGATGCTTAAGAATAATTGAAAACTTGGGAATAAGCAGATTTGCCATTTTGTACATGTTGAGGGCTAAGGCTGTAAGTTCAATTTAATTATTTCAATTTCTTTATTTATTCAATACAAATACAATGACAAAGGGCTTTATAACATTAGGCTACAAAAGTCTCATAAAAGAGGCTTGTCCGTAGCATTTCTAAAAACATAACATAAAATATAGTTGAGCAAAGAAAAACAGTACCTAACAAAGTCGATAGGCTAATAAATGATAATATTTTTCCTAAAACTACTTAGCCTAACATTAGTATAAGTTTTAAAATTTAAATATCAATAGTAACAAAGAATTAAAATGACTATAAAGATTTTCATGACATTCAATAATTTTGATTTTAAACAAAAACACTGACAAAAATAAGCAAAATAATTTTTCATGAAAACTGTGTGAATTCTCTACTATTCAAATAAATAAAGATTTTTCAACTTAACCTTCAACAATTTATAAGTTTTTACCTTATTAAGAATTTGTGGCAGATAATTGAATAATATATTGTGCTGGTACCAAATAACTCCTTGTTCGTTTTGTTATACTTGGAACAATATAAAATTCCTTTCTGGAGTTATATCTATGGACATTTTTTGTTTACTTATCTGAATGGTAATAATCAATAATCAACAAAAATGTAAACAGTTTTTTCACTGGCAGAACACCTGTCAGCTGATAACACAGCATTGGAAATTCATTTTCATCACTCTGTATTCGAAAATAGCTCATTTCCATACAGCTGAGATCTTCGAAAATCGTCAATTTCCGTACACCAAAACAAATAGTGATCAGCTGACCTTTCCTGACATAAACATTACTTTCGCTACATAAACATTACTTTCGCTACACAAAACAATACTTTGCCTAACATCAACAAAGTTACAACAGAAGTTTTTTAATTTTTTTAAGTTACATGAAGTAGTTTTTTCATCGTGATGAAAAGTATCGTTCAATACTCGTCACGAAAGTCCCATTTCCAGGATGTTCAGAAAATGGGTTCGGCCATATTCACGCATATTTCCCGATTAACTTCCATTTTCCCCAAGGCATTTTTTTACAAATTGAATATATTTGATATGCAAAACTGGGACGGGTGGCGTCGTCCTGTAATCCAGCTACTAGGAGGTTACGAATTGTGGATATTTATAGGCATGCACTGTGGATGCGATACTCCCAGGTGTGGATTAACGTCCGCACGAGTGAGTACTACGACTATCCGCAGTACTATCCTGAAAATTAGACCAATTCGTACATACCAAGGCAAAAATGCGGTTTGGATTCCACTATAAACTGTAGGTCTCTTAGTTGCCATTAGCTGTATGGGCTATTAATTAACAGCTGTGTCTAAGGAATAAGTCAGCCTTAGTCACTAACAAGACTACAAGATTGCACCACTCATCTCCATTCATACTTGGCTTAAAATAGTAAAATACCTACTTTGTATGGTTGCCATTTCATTAAAAAGTATTAAAGTATTAATACAAACAAAATGGGTACACACACTCACGCAAGCACGCAAATCACAAAACAGCTTAAAAACATGCGCACATCACCACTTAACAAAGCACATCTATGTGGCAAAAGAGGTAAGGCCTCTAGCTGGGGTAGCGGTTAGGTGTCCGTTGGGGAAGGTGGCCACCAGTGAGAAATTATGAGTTGCAGTAGCGGCTATTAGTGCCGTAGCTCGTAGCTGTTAACCCCATGAGCTTGCCAGCATGAGCGTTAAAGCATGAGCTTGTCAATACCAGGCTTGCCAGATTTTATCATGTCAACATTACACGCAAAAAAAATCATAATGCGGGAAACTTGAATTTAATCAATGCTCGTATTTAAATTGAATATTAAGAACAAACAATTTTCTCGTTGATATCACATATTCCACAGAAAACTACATTGTTCTGTTAAATCACCTTTTTGCCAACCTTAGTGGATAGTTTGTAGCGAGTCGCTACAATAGCGCAAGTCACGTGACGCGGATGCGCGCGCAGTCGGCCCGGGTAGGCTAGGCACGCGCAGCGAGCCAAGAGACCAGTAGTGTAGTGTCGAGCGCCTGGAGCTGTACATCTAAACCGGATAAGTAACTGTAGCCTAAGATGTCTAGCTAATAGAAGTAGGGGTTGGGGAAGGGTGTAGGTTAGGGTAGATAGTAATTCAATTATGTAATTTATTAGGTTCTCGAAAGGTCGTGGTCGGGTAATTATTATCACTAATTTTGAATTCACATTTGCTAAGTCTAGTAATCTTTTTCACGAATTAGAATATGTCCATATATACAGGGTGTTCATTTGAAAACTTTCCATATCTGTTGTGTGCAAAGGTAAGGCTTTTAACACTTGTTTGTTCTCATTTCCCCCTAATTTGGACATGCCAAATCCAATAAAATTATTTTCAGTTTTGAAAAATGCCCCAAAAGGGCCCAATTTGGGGGGTAGGGGTGCTTTTTGAGAAATTTTCAAATGTAAACATAGGTTGTGTGATACATCAATTTAAAGGTCTAATCACCCCAATCATTTTGGTCCAAAAAAAGTTTAATTATCTTTAACCGTATTTACAGGGTGGGTCAAAACGTTGTAAAAAAGGACTTTGAAGTTAAGTACCGTATTACCCTAAATACTGAACGGAACAGCGCCAAATTTCTTTCCAAGCTTATTCTTGAGCTACTCTTTAAGATAACTTGTAGTAAGGGCATTTTCCAAGTTATTTTCTAATTTTTAAAAAATCTCAAATTTTAAGAATAAAAGAAAGCTGAAAACTCAAAATTCTTAAATAGCAATGTATAACAAATTTCATACCACAAAAAAGGTCATTTTTCAACAAACATTTTACGTACTTAAGTTTTCTTTCTATCTCTTACCGTTTAAAAATTGCAGTGGAAAAACATAATTTTCTATGGTAAAATTATAACTAGTTTTCTAATAAATCATATTGCACTTTGTTCAACGATGTAGTAGGATTCATAACAAATTGATCGACTACTTTTACGTGTGACAGAATTCATCTTGGACTCTTCATCCTGTTCTTTTCTCATTGGTAACTGAGCCAGTTTCAGAAAACTTCCTAACTAAATCATTTACAGACATATGACTCAAGGTTATACCTGGATATCTATTGTTAAACACTTTGCAGTTAACCTGGAACACTTTTGTTATGACCAATAAGTAAAAATAAAGTCTATTTTTTTAAGTTTACACCATATTTGATTAGGTACTACAGGAAATGGTACTTTTGAAATTAGTACTACCATTGACTAGTCAATGGTACTACAGAAAGCGGCCCACGCTTGGGTTTTTCTCATCAGCTATAAAACTTGTTTTTCACAAAGTAAAACGTAATGACTTGTTTGCCTATCTGCCTAAAAATAATTATGAATTGTTTCCTTCAGTTATTGCACTATTTAATGTGTCTAGAGACGAATTTTGGCTGTTTTATTAGAAAACTAGTTACAGTTTTACCATAGAAAATTATGTTTTTCTACTGCAATTTTTTAACGGTAAGAGATAGAAAGAAAACTTAAATACGTAAAATGTTTGTTAAAAAAGGACCTTTCACGTGGTATGAAATTTGTTATACCTTGCTATTTAAGAATTTTGAGTTTTCAGCTTTCTTTTATTCTTAAAATTTGAGATTTTTTAAAATAAGAAAATAACATGGAAAATGCCCTTACTACAAGTTATCTTAAAGAGTATCTCAAGAATAAGCTTGGAAAGAAATTTGGCGCTGTTCCGTTCAGTAGTTAGGGTAATACGGTACTTAACTTTAAAGTATTTTTTTAAAACGTTTTGACCCACCCTGTAAATACGGTTAAAGATAATTAAACTTTTTTGCACCAAAATGATCGGGGTGATTAGACCTTTAAATTGATGTATCACACAACCCATGTTTACATTTGAAAATTTCTCAAAAAGCACCCCTACCCCCCAAATTGGGCCCTTTTGGGGCATTTTTCAAAATTGAAAATAATTTTATTGGATTTGGCATGCCCAAATTAGGGAGAAATAAGAACAAACAAGTGTTGAAAGCCTTACCTTTGCACACAACAGATATGGAAAGTTTTCAAATGAACACCCTGTATATATTTCTCTGTTCATTATATTATAATTAGATACATTATGAACATAAAAGCTGGCTGTGATAGGCAGCTAAGGTAATATTGTGCACTTTGACGAGTTAGATTAATTCTTGCAATAGAGTTGGGTTACGACAGGAAATGTGCGTGATTTGGCAGTGGTTAGAGGAAGATATATAGGGCCCAGGTATCTTCATTTACACTCATACTACTCCACATCATCACATATGGGTAGCAGAGCGTCAAGATCCGGCCAAAAATGCAATTTTAACAGAAATAGAATAGATTAAAACGTGTCTCAGACCAGCCAAGTGCTTTGTTCAGACAGGAAATCGACAGGCTACAGGTCGGCACCACGTGGCAGCTAAGGAGTTGTGTAAGGAAATTTAAAAATCAATTTTAATGTGAATTTTTTAATTTCAAAGTAGAATTAGGAGAACTTGGATATTTTTGATTAATATTTTACCAAACCAAGTTGATGAATATATTTAAATGCATTTATGTAATCACTCACGAGTTCGACATCAAGTCTGAAAGGCAGTAATTGAACTAAATATACCTCGACGACAGGCCGAATGAGTGTTTGATGAATATTTTTATTACGGAAAGCAAAATATTAGGAGTCAAAGTGCACATCGGTATAGTTGACAGGCCACGACCAACAAATCAAAATTTCAAAATTGGGGGGATTTTAAATTCATCTGTATGTCACCTCCCCAACCCCAAAAGGTCATAAATATCCCCAAAAAATTTTTATTTCATAATTTTTACAGCCAAAAGGGTACTGCAGTGAATTAATTAGTAATTAAAGTAGTATTTTAAAACGTAGTCTGACATATTTTAGTTGTAACTCATCACCTTAATTTAAGTTGTGTTTAGA